TGGGAGAGGCGTTGTAATCCCGTTCGTTATCCGGGCCTCCGCTGAGATGCGTTAAAAACCTCTGATGAGGCCCGTTTTGATCCTCTCAATCAGCTTCGCAGCACCGGGGGCTTGTTACAAGGCGGCGCAGGGGAACGAGCGGCACGCAGCCTAATGAATCGGCCACTCGCTCTCCCCACCTCTAGAGCTTCCCGCCGGGCGGCCACGTGTGTGGGTGGCTCCGTCGAGAAGGGAAGGGGGGGTCGGTGGTGGGTGGTAGAGTGGGAGCGAGTGGGTGCGTGATGGGGGTTTGATTTGGTTGTGCGTGTGGGGTGGCAGAGTGTGGCTCCCCTCCCCTCGCTCCCTCGCTCACGCGAGCGGGGAGGCGGCGGCGAGTGCGGCGGGTGTGATCCTAGAGGTTCTGTCGAAGGGGTGCTCATTAAGAGATGTTTCCCCCGTGCCGACGCCGTTGTGCGTGGGCGAGGAAGGACAACGTGCAGGCAGCCCGCACGCGGCGACGCACACTCGACAACACAAAGACAAAGGGCCCCCCCCCCCGCCCGCGTACAATTTTCAACAGATTGATGGGGAAAGTGCTGTTGGCGAGCGCAAGCACCGACGAAGGCCGGAACGGCACACGAGCGAGCGGGGTGGGTGGTTAGCACCACGCACGCTCGGCCATCTCCGTCTTCCCGGTGGTGATGTTCACATCCCGCATCGGGTACAGTACTCATTTGAGGCACAAAGACAAAGATCCCCCGCATAGCCTGAACAGAACTGTCGGGGCAAGCGCTGTTAACGGGCACCTATGAAGGGCCGGCACGGCAAAGAGGGGCTGGTGTGGCCAGGAACACGCCCGACCGCCTTTGTCTCCCTAGTGGCGATGTTTATACATCCTCGACCTAGGGGAGGCCCAAGACCGGTGCTGGTTCGTAGCGCAGCGTAGCGCTAACCGCTGCGCCACCGCTCCCCACACAAGCACACACGTCCCCGCATTTTAACCTCACCCCTGCCCCCCTTCCGTGGGCTGTAAATGCGTTTTATTTACACAGAATTCATAACACAACAACGAGGGCTCACGAGGACCCCCGCAATGCGGAGTAAACACGAGCGCGGGCAGCATCCGTCCACGCTTTCTGTCACCTTTGGCGTCAGCTAAAGTTGGGAGGGGTCACCTGTTTAAACACGAGGCTTCTTTTGCACCGTACGTAGCCAGCCGCGATAAAGCGAGTGCCAAGCGTGACATCGCTCCTCTAGCCCCTCTTTGAGAAACGTAATGGGAATTTACATCACTCGCTCGGTCATTCGCAATTACCAATGAGTGTTACACACAGAGAGACCATTATAAAAAGTAGCTCGCACATATTGGATTCATTCCATTTTATACAAAGACACACACACACGTTACGTATAAACCATACGGTGGTCACACACCGTACACGGATGAACACGTTCGTACACCGAACACACAAACGTGTGCTCTGTACGTTGCATACACAATGGACGCACGCATTTTTTTTTCCCTCACATAAGACAGGATTACCATCGAGTCTAGACTGGTGATGCAGATAAGTAATGGTTTATGTGTATAATTAAACGTACGTCATCTGCCACGCACGCATTTGCAACACCTGCCGATGTTCCTGTTGTGCACAGGAACCTACAGGCGATTGTGTACACGCTTCAAATACAATTACGTAATTCGCGGTAGATTCGTATTATTTCTTTGGGGGGTTAATCCACCGCCGTCGTAATGATCCTGCCAAGTTGCCCTGTAGTTTAACCCTTCACCGCTCGACTCGGACACACAAATGTCATTGTCACGCAGTGCACGGGCATTCAACGTGTCACTTATCCATTGTGCCTTGCTCACTCACCGCCGATTTGAAATTGTACCGGACACGGACATAACAAAAATCCCCCCATCTCGGCTTTTGGGGCAAGTATTGTTAACGAGTAGCGGCTATGAAGGCCGGCACGGCACACGAGGGGTTGGGTTGGTCAGCAACACGCCCGGCCGCCTTTGTCTCCCCCAATGGCGATGTTTACTACACACCGCTACACCAGGTACTCATTTGAGGCCGAGTCGACCTCGGGGGAGACCCAGGACCGGTGAAAATAATCGTCACCGGTGGCCGTGAGCGGGAATCAAAACTCGGGTCGCTGGGCTTGCAGCGCAGCGCCATAACCACTACGCCACCATAGAGTACACACACACACACGTGATTCTCGATTACACACGCCACACGGTACTTTTGTACCAAGGCATCAAGTTTAAAAGTTATAAGCTCCGATTAGGACACTTGTGACACGACACCGAAAGCACCAGCAGAGTAAAGTTGGGGGAAAAGACGCTTGCTGTAAAATGTTCGAAGGAGGCGGTGAGCGATGTCACTTTGACTCGTCGCTCTCGCAAAGTCACCCAGCTCAGCAAGCAAGCGAACGAGCGAGCGAACGAGCGAACGAGCAAACGAGCGAGCGAGCGAGCGAATGAGCAAGCGATCGATCGAACGATCGAGCAGGCCAGCATGCAAATGAGCGAATGTGCGAATGTACGTACGGGTGAGCAGGCAGGGAGGCGAGCGAGCGGGCGGACGGGCGCGCGCTATTCGCAGAAGACGCCACATGCCTCGCAACCGCACTCCCCACGCCACCAGCCGATTAAACCGCTCAGTTATTGTGCCTCTCTACAACTCGTGAAGCCTCCTTCCGTGTCGCACGATGTCAGCCGGAGGGAGAGGCGGCGCGGTGGCCCGAGCGAGCACCGTCTCGCGACGTCTCAACTCTCCGTGCCGACGAGAGACGATCGTGACTGTAGGCGAGGGAGCGAGAACCACCGAGTGGTCGCCGAGAGGGGCGACAACCATGGGGGAGAGAGAGAGAGAGGGAGCAACAGGGGGGGGGGGGTGGGGGGAGGGCTGGGGGGGAACTGCACCGCCAAGAAGTTCCGAAGCCGGCACGGCACGGCGGAGCGGCACGGGTTCAGCTATGAGCGAGCGTATGACAGGCGCCGCTCCCAACGCCGGCAAAACTCCTCTTCATCACCATCATCGCCATCGCCATCTATCCCAAGATCGTCATCCGTCCCTTGACCCCCAACGGTTGTGGGGTGGGGGGGGGGCCTTGCGCCAATGCGATGAATTAAAACGAGCGAATAAGCGAAGACGGCTTCGGCACCGTGTGGGTGTTGTCGCGCGAGGTCGGGCGTCGATTTTTCTTTTTATTTTCCGCAGGTTTCCGTGGGCAAATACTATTATTTTTTTTTAAGTCGGTATAACTCTGCCCTTGACAGCTGCACCTTTTGGGATGTCGTTGCGCTCTCGTTCGTTGTTGCCGTTTGTTGTCGCAGCGGCGAAATTAAAAAACAAATTATTGTTATTTTTGTTCCGTCGATAAAAAGGGGTGGGGGGGGGGGGGACCTGCCCATATTGCCCACGTTGCCGCAATCGTTTTGTTGTTGTTGTTACATTTAAATAACAAACCACGCCAATTAATTACAACAACAAAACATACAAATTAAAAACAAATCTGTACGTTTGACGAAGCGTGTTCTTGGCAGGTGCTTCAACTCTCCAACGCACATTTACGCTTGTTCAGTGGCTCCCAAATCGCGGTGGCCTCTCTTTGACAAATTTCAACGCGGCCGCTCGATAAAAAGGAGACAACTGCCGCCCCAGAACGCCCGCCTCTTTAAAATAAAAAAACTAACAGAACAAAAAATCACTTCACGCATGCTGCATGGTGTGTAGACGAGGGGGACGAGTGGACCGTGAGGGTGGGGTGAGTAGGGTGTAAAGTGAGCGGTGGTGTGCGTGTGGTGAGTGCACGGCAAGTGTGGGGTGTGTGTGTGTGCGCTCTGGGTGTGGTTGCGGTGTGCGGTGTCACCGATGAATGCATGTGCCGATGTGTGTGTGATGAGCACATCTGTGTGTGTGTGCGTGTGAGGCCCACAGAGCTGTATTGCTCTTTTTCGGAAGTGACCTGGCCACAAACGAAAGCTCAACGAACTGGCTTATCACGTGGACATTTATGCTCGAAATGCATGATTCTAAGTTTCAAGGGAAAAATAGGAGGACCCGGAGAGAAATCCACACGACCACGGGGATAACACGCAAACTCCAAATTTCCAGGCGTCAGCATTGGGATCGAACCCACGACCTCCTGTATACCAGTCGAGGTAGATAACGTCTCGCAGCAGTGGCGAGTGTGTGCAGTGTGACCGGTGAGTACGTGGGCAGTGTGTGTCGCGTGATCGGCGAGTGTGCGTGGTGGATGAGTGTGCGTGGTGGATGAGTGTGCGTGGTGGATGAGTGTGCGTGGTGGATGAGTGTGCGTGGTGGATGAGTGTGCGTAGTGGATGAGCAGTGGGTGTGCGGTGGGCGAGTTTGTCGTGAGTGGAATGCGTGCGTGTGGTGCGTGTGGTGCGTGTGGTGCGTGTCGTGAGTGTGGTGAGCATGTGGTGAGCGTGTCGTGAGTGTGGTGAGCGTGTGGTGAGCGTGTGGTGAGTGTGTGGTGAGTGTGTGGTCTGAGTGTGTGGTGAGCGTGTGGTGAGTGTATGTTGTGAGTGTGCTGAGTGTGTGGTGAGCGTGTTGTGAGTGTGTTGTGAGTGTGTTGTGAGGGTGTTGTGAGTGTGGTGAGTGTGTGGTGAGTGTGTGGTGAGTGTGTGATGTGAGTATTCTGAGCATGTGGTGTGAGTACGCTGAGTGTGTGGTGTGAGTGTGATGTGAGTACGCTGAGCGTGTGATGAGTGTTTGGTGAGCGTGTGGTGAGCGTGTGGTGTGAGTACGCTGAGTGTGTGGTGTGAGTGTGGTGAGCGTGTGTGATGTGAGTACGCTGAGTGTGTGGTGAGCGTGTGGTGTGAGTATGCTGAGTGTGTGGTGAGCGTGTGGTGAGCGTGTGTGATGTGAGTACGCTGAGCGTGTGGTGTGAGTACGCCGAGCGTGTGTGGTGTGAGTGTGGTGAGTGTTTGGTGAGCGTGTGGTGAGCGCGTGTGGCGTGACTGCACCGCGCGTGCCTCTCACCTCTGGTGCGCTCCGCTTGAATTCCCGGCTCTGTTCTATGAGCCGCTTTCGGGACTGCTCGCTCGCCTCTTGCCGATTGGCCAGCTCCGTTGCCGTGGCGCTAAGTTCTCTCTGTCAGAGGAGGAGGCGGGGATAGAGGGGGGAAAGGAGGGCGTGGGATGGGATGGCACAACAGGTCCATCATCATCATCATCATGGGCCACCATCGTCGGCAAAAATCGTCCCGTATCTCTCTCACTCTCCTCAACGGCGGCCGAACACGGCCACCGCGATGCCCGCCTCAGTCACGACGAAGGCGGGCGGCGATCGTAACCGGAGTCCGACGCGAGCGTTCCGACTATGTCGCACGGTAGCGAATTTAAACTTCAAAGCGGGGGGCGGCGGGGGGCGGGGGGGCAGCATCACCGGCTTGAAATCCATAAAACTCCACGCAAACAATAAAGCGCTCGGCAGCAATAATAACTCGGTCAAAGTCATCGGGAAGCCCCGGTGGCGGCAGCGGCTCCCTCTCTCTCGCACGCCCGCACGCGTGCGCACTCACAAAGCGCATTTTCTCAAACTTTCCTTACCCCTCCCGTTTTGTTTTTACACGAGTTCTGCCCGGGCAAGATGACGGCGGCGGCGGCGGCAGCGGCATTCCCTTCGGAATCTCTTCCCCATCCCCACCACCCCCACCAGCCCCCCCACCCCCAACTCCCCGGCACCCCCACGCCACTGCCCGCGCAACAACCGACGACCCCGAGGGGGAAGGAGCAGGGCAGGGGAGGGGGGGGTCGTCTCTCTCCGCACCGACACGGACGACGCCGCGAGAGACGTTCGGGGCGCGAAGGAACGCCACGACATACCAGGACGCGCTGGAGATTTAGCGCGGCAAAACCATAAATGGTTACCGAACGGGACAGGAAAGCATTTTTGAGAGCGTCGGGGTTGAAAGAGAGCAGCGGGAGTAATAAAATGCTCGGGGGGCGGTTGGGGAGGAGGAGGATGAGGAGGAGGAGGGGCAGCCGTTATGGGGTGAAGGGTGGGAGAGGAGGAGGAGGAGGTCGTAAGGGGCGGCACACATGGGGAGGTGGGGGCAGGAGGAAGGGAGGGAGGGAGGTAGGGTTAACCGGTGACTTGTGACGGAGAATTTGGCGTAGGAGGAATTTACAGCATTAACAAGGAGGAGGAAGCAACTCGAGCGGAGATCATCTCTCAATCGCAGCGGCGTTTGCCCCCTGCGCACACACGCGCGCGCGTCTGCATTTCACGTTGCGCATCTCCATCGTACCCAGCGCTCCTAACGCAGCCCCGCGCAACGAGACATCTTCATCACGCGGGAAAGTCTCGCCAAAGTCTTCTTTCGGACAGTTTTTTTTTTTAACAGGCTGCTGCTTTGCGGTGTTTGGCCAATTCTTTTTATGTCATCCCGAGCTTTTTGTTTAATGTAAGAAAAAAAACCCAGTATCGCCCTTGCCATTACAAACAATCTTGGTCGAGATAACATCCACTGCTAGTCCTGCCAGACCCACAAAATTAAAACCTTTATGCCCAACGGGCGGATGACAAAAACTGCCATTAAATGCTACACACGGGGGAGAGACATCCCCCGACTGTTCGACGTTCATTCGCGTCCACTGAATTTAAATTGGGTAACGAATGAGCCACCGCCGCTCATCAATTTATGCGTCTCTGAGTTCCGCCGTGGTAATGACCGTCCGTCCGCGTGCCGGCAACAACGCCGCGCAAACTACGTTGTTAAGTTCGCGAGCCATCGTAAAATAAAATAAAAGTTCGCGAGCCATTGCTCTGCCCGGGGGGGAAAAATAAATTTAAAAAAAAGCAGAGTGAAGAGACAAGGGATGGAGAGAAGTTTTTTTTTAAATCCACGTCGTCGCATTTTTAATAACGTCGTTTAATATCTTGGTGCCAACACTTTAGCTCGACGTGTCTGCGCGCAATTACTCAGTAATAACTTTTTCTCACGGCGTTTTCGGAAGTTTAATTGAAACATTTTCAAGCGAACGAACAGTTCCGTCTTCAACATGGAGATCGTGCGCTAATGGGGGGGGGGGAAGGGGGGGGGGGATCAAACACCAAAAAAATCTCTCAATCTGTTCCGTGCAGAAGGGAAATAAAGTTTTTTTTTAAGCAATCTCCAAAAGAACAAAGCTTTGACGGCTTCGCGACGTAACACCGCTATTAACGCTCGCGCCGTTTAAATTAAAACTCCCGCGGAATCGCGACGGACAGACCCCCCCCCCTCCGCTTCGTGTTCTAAAAGTGGCAGTCGGGGAGGTTTTTGAGAACCGCGTGCAATTCACCCGGGCACACACTTTATAATTACGGCGCCGATTGTGCGTTTCAATGTGAATGAAATAAATAAATCCATCTAACCGCGGAGGGAAAGGAGAAACACAAGAAAAGGTCTCTCGCCGTCTCGATCAGCCCCAGCGGCTTTCCAGACGCGCGTTCACCAGCGGCAACTCTGTACGCGCGCCTGCTCCATCTCGTTAACACAGTTTAACACAGTTTAACACACTTTGTTCCCATAGACAAAGATTCCCCCCCCCCCTAACCTCCACGTGTAACCTGCAGACTTTTGGGGCTGTAGTATGGTCAGTACCATTCCCGGCTGCCTGTGTTCTCCCCAGCGCTGATGCTTACAGACCACACAGGTTTTGGCGGAGTCGACCTAGTGGGGGCCCAGAACCGCTTCCGATAGGGCTTCTAGAGCCCGGTTGCGAGTCGAACTCGGGTGGCAAGATTCATCGCACTGGTATGCTAACCACTGCATCACTCCCAATGATGCATACAGAACAGACTGTTGGGGCAAGTGTTGTTCACGAGCATGGCACACAAAGGGGGCGGGTGGCCAACACCACACCCGACCGTCTTTGTCTCCCCACACTGTACCAGGTACTCATTTATGGCCGAGTTGACGTAGGGGAGGCCCAGGACCAGTGCAAAATATTCGTCAATGTTGTTGGTTGTGAGCGGGAATCGAACTCTGGTCACCGTATAGCCCGAACAGACTTTTGGGGCAAGTGTTGCTCACAAATAGTAGCACCTATGAAGGCCGGCACAGCACATGAGGAGGGGGCGGGGGGGGTGTCCAACACCACGCCCGGCCGCCTTTGTCTCCCTAGCGGTGACGTTTACACACCAGACAGGCACCAGGACACGTGAGGGCGCGCCACACTGGGACAATCGCGGTGTTTGTGGAAAACTACCACTGCGGCGGCGGCGGCGGCCACGTGCGCCAACGCAATGTCAGCGGGCACACAAGGGGGCCCACTCTCTCTCACCGTGCTCCCGGTGCTGAGATTCCAGCCCCCCCCCCCCCCCCCCCCGGGGCGGTCGTTGGCAAAGTGGCGAAACGTGAACTGCCGTAAAGAAAAACAAATGGTTTAAGAATTATGAATGACAACAAAAAAATCACAAATCTATCAAAAGCTCCCGCGGACATGGCACGCAACGTATAAAAATAAGATAATTGATTCACTGTTTTTAAGACGGTATATACCCGGCCACGGTATATTAAAGGCGTTCGGTTTTAATCAAACGTATTAATGGTAGGATTCTACGGTGTGCCAAACCAAACACGGTGCTGTAAGAGAAAGGGCGGCATTGTTAGGTGAATGGAGGCTTCTCTGGCCCGCGCTGAGGCCACGCACATTTAGGGACTGGGCCATGACCCCCTGCAACACAATGGCCAACTCCTGTGAATGGTGTCACATGATTCTTGATGTCCACTCGGCACAATTCAGCCCCATCCCTAAGCCAACCGCCCCAACAGCCCTAACAGCCCCAACAGCCCTAACAGCCCCAACCACCTTAACCACCCCAACCACCCCAGCAGCCCCAACAACCCCACCCACCTTACCCAACCCAACCACCCCAACAGCCACCCCACCTTAACCGCCCCACCCACCTTAGCCACCCCAACCGCCCCACCCGCCCTACCCACCTTAACCACCTTAACCACTTTAACCACCCCAACCGCCCAACAGCCCCATCCACCTTAACCGCCCCACCCACCTCAACCACCTCAACCACCTGAACCACCTGAACCACCTCAACCACCTCAACCACCTGAACCACCTCAACCACCTGAACCACCTGAACCACCTGAACCACCTTAACCACCCCAACCGTCCCAACCGCCCAACAGCCCCACCCACCTCAACCACCTTAACCACCTTAACCGCCCCAACCACCTTAACTGCCCCAACCATCTTAACCATCTTAACCACCTTAACCACCTTAACCACTCCAACCGCCTCAACCGCCTCAACCGCCTCAAACGCCTCAACCGCCTCAAACGCCGCACTGTCTAAACCACCCCAACCGCTGGATTGCATTAATTTCAACAATTTGAACAACGTGGAATTTTTTGTCTTTTTTAACCATCTCATTTGTATTGTCTCAAATAGCCTCTGTTCCGTTTGCACAGTTTAGGGTGAATGTAACGTAGGTATTCAATTTGCATTCGTCGTAAAGGTCTAATTCGCAAGTGCACGATTCAGCGCGTGCATACAACTCGGTTTGAATCATGGATGAAACTGTCTCGTCACATCCGTGTTGTTCACTTCACAGCAGCGGGCGAGTTTGGATAACGACAGCTGCACTCGGTTATGGAAGAATTGGACATCATTGGCGGTTATGAAGGCTGCTGTGGAACTCAGGAATTACCGCGCGGCTGTAAGCAAGGACCAAAATGCCGAGGCAGGGCACGTCAACGAACAGATCGTTGCATTTTATTTTTTAAACCACAACACAAAGAAAGGATCGTGCAGACAATTTAAAATGCTGCTCGCTACACAAAGAGATATGTAGCGGCTGAGGCCACATCTCTGAAGGGGAGGGCTCAAGGCAACGGTTGAAATAAAAAAAATAACAACAATATGAAGAGGCACTAGAGACACACAATACGGAATACAGCTGTGCTGGTTTGGTTCAGCAGAGGAAAACAAGCGGTCCTCACTTGAACGACTCCAAACCTTGGGGATGCGCATTTGAACGGCGCGTAAATGCAACGACGGAGACATTTTTTTATTGCGCGGCCACGGCTCTCATCAGTGGCGGCCGATGCCTCCACCGCCACCCACCGCCACGCACCGGCCGGCGTG